TTCATTAATTGTGATTTTACTTTAAATAGATTTTATAATTTAATCATTATATTATCTATTTATTAAATAAATAAAAATATAAAAATTAAAGAAAAAACGTTAAATGTAAAAAAAATTTATAATAAATTAATAAAATATTAATTAAACTAAAGAATATTTATATGACATTAACAAAATAATCTTTATTAATATGTAACACTACCTAGACACATGTTGCACGTTAAAAGTATTTTTTTTAACAAATTTACAAAATATAAAATTTGAACTGTTGCTCAAAGAGGGAAGATGCATTTTGAGGCCACTGAACCGAAGGCCAAGTGCTGCACGTCAAGAGTATTAATAAGTTTGAAAGACTAAAATTAAATGACCCAAATACAAGGCATTAATCTGTGGAAAGACTAAAATGAAATGACCCAAAGACACGGCATTAACCAGTGGAAAGACTAAAATGAAATGAAAGACTAAAATTGAATGACCCAAATACACGGCATTAATCAGTGGAAAGACTAAAATGAAATGACCCAAATACACGCATTAACCAGTGGAAAGACTAAAAGGAAATGACCCAAATACACGGCAACTTCCTATTCATGTTGACTCTTGACTTTAGAAAAATGTTCGGCCAGTCTTGCAAGGGAATGGTGCTTTTCCGTCAGTCTCAATTTAACCGTTTTATTGACTTTTTGAATGTAATTTTAGATAATTTTTTTTATGATATATTAACAGTAAATAAAAATTTTGTTATTAAAGAAAATTATTCAAAATAATCACATACAAAATAAAACAAATTTTAATTACAAGTTGTATATTACTTAATAATATCACTTATGCTTATATATAAAAATTTTACAAACAATTATAATTTGAGGTGGAGGTAGTAATAAGGAGAAGGAGACCATAAAGACTTCCCAGTCATGGCATCAATCACTAGGACTCGAGTGATAAAAAAATGAAAGAGAAAAATAATTGCTTTAATTATTGGCCACATAATTCCCACGCGGAATCTTTGTTGTAAATTCAAAGAAAAGCCTTTGTCCCGTTCATGGGGGGTGGGGTTATTGCCACACCCTATTTTGTTAATGCCACATCTAAAATTATAAATTGACATAATTACCCATCATTTTAAAAATAATTTATTTTTCTTTCCAAAGCTACCCTTTTTTACTTCTTTTAACCCTAGCCGCTGCAACCCTCATTCTACTTCATATTTTTCCCTTTCCAAAAATAAATTTGACTTTATTTTTCTTTTTCTCTAAAATAATCAAATTATTTTGGCAATAAAAAAAAAAACAGAACACAAATTCTGAATCAAATCATTCTCAATCATAATTGATAATGTAAATAATAAAAAAATTAAACATCAACTATCAAATGTAATTGAAAATATGAATATATAAATTAAACATCATCCTCTAAAAGAAGTTCACATTATGAATTTGACTAATATGTTGTACTAATAATGAGTCTGTAAATCCTTCCGAATCAAAATTCACAACCTTTAAATTTCACAAACAATGTGCATCCAAGAAAGCACCCCAAAAGGCATGAAAAGTTTGAAGAAAATTCTACTTTGGGTCATCCATCTGCACTCATGAAAAAGTTGCTCTTCATCAGTTAGATCATGAAATTTAAACAGGAAAAAATGCATATAACAAATGCTTAATAAAATGTCTATACTTACATGAAAATAAAGGAAACGAAGTTCCAAAGTCATTAGCCTACCAAAACAAATAATAAGTTAGTTAACTTAATTTAAATCAACAATTTATAATTAAGTTTAAAATATTGAAGTGAAAGCCTTACCTTATCTAATTAAAGGAAGAGACAAAATCCAAATCAGGTACCATATTCAAGTCAATTCCTCCAATCGCACGTTCATCAAGTGAGTTAGCTATGGAATATGAGATTTGTTCACTAACTTTGTTCTTGCTGGGACATGTACGAATGTCATGCTCAGAATTCTTACAACCACTACATTTTCTTCTTTTTTCCACAATCTCAAATCTTGAAGGATCTCTTTGCGTTGAGCTTGATCCCCTTTTTTGCTTTGAGCCACTGCTTGGTTCTCTCAAGGAATGAAGTGATGCACTAACAAGTTGAGAAATTGTAGCACGGGCTTTTTCTTTATGCATGAGAGGCCATTTTTTAAATTTATCCTGCAATTCACTAAGCATCTTTTTAAAGTTGTCCTCCTCATTCATCATCCCATCTGAACAAGTTAATGACAGTGAGTCGATCCTCCATTGTGAATGTATGGATGAAATAGGAAACACCCCATCTTTCCAAGTAGTCATCATCTTGTGTGCGCATGGAAGGCCCATACTTGACAAAAAGTGACCTGTACATGAAGGATCCATTGTCCCATGTTTAACCATTTCATATTGCTTGTATAACTCTTTCAAGGCATGCATGGAAACTTTCGTGACAACTTCCTTGAAGAAGGCATTGTTACAATTGTGAGGGATCCGAATTCTTCCACTAGAGAGTAAGGCTTTAATCTCTTGAAATTCATTTGTAATTGCAAGACAAATCTTCTCTTTTACTTGACGAAAATCACCAGTTAAAACTTGCAAATATGCCTTCAGCTTAGCATGTGCTCCTTCTGCTCTTGAAGAGACCCGATGTCTGAAATGTGGAAACTTCTCTGCCCAAGCATCAACAAATTGCTCCTTAAATGGAAGCCATGTCTTTTCAATGTAAGTTAAAACTTCTCTCCTTTCCTTGTACAACTCTTCAAACAGCCTCCAATTTTTCTCAAAATCAATCTCACTTGAAGATCTTATTACTCCATTCCAAGAAGACATAAAAGCATCCCAATCCTCTTGTGCCTCAAAGTGATGCTTGCAATTTGACAAGATATTTTTCTCAATGTGCCACACACACAAAAGATTAGTAGCACTTGGAAAAACAACTCGTATAGCATTCATCAAAGCCAATTCCCTATCGGAAATAATAACCAGCGGTTGACAATTAGGCCCAAGCACTTCTCTAAACATTGTTAAAGCCCAAACATAATCTTCTACTCTCTCCTTTTCCATGAAGGTAAAGCAAGAATAGAAAGAGGTATTGAAGCATGACACCCCAATTATATCAAGTAAAGGCATCTTGTATTTGTTTGTCTTGTAGGTGCAATCCATGACAAAAACATGTGGAAAACTTATTGTGAGAATGATTGAATTAGGGTGAGCAAAAAATATATGTGTCAAGCAACCATTTTCATCATGCTTTATATTGTAGAAAAATTCACCCTCACCTAGTTCTTCAAATAATGCTTGAACCATGGTACGACCTCCCAATTTTTCTTCTCAAATCTTGTGTATTGAATTGTATACATTTCTAGAGATTGCTTGAAGGCCTGGATTTTTTTTGCCTTAGTGATGAGAGAATTTGTCGTGTCGGTATCCCAAAAGAAGCCATTTCTTCAACGCTATGCATTTCTTCTACTGAAAAATGACGACAACTAGGGTGACCGGACATATCACTAGATGCTTCATGGTTATGGGAATCATTTATAAGTTGAAGTATCCAAGTACCATCACTTCGCTTCCTACCAATAACTTCAAAAGGACAATTTATAAGCCGACTTGATGATTTCCTTTTACGAAGCTCTAATGGAGTATTCTGTCGATTCCGATAGACACCTCCTCTATCACATCCAATGCGCACAAATCTATCCTTTTTAGATTTCTTGATGGTTGTTGCATATCCATTTTTTAAATAAAATCTTTTTGTGCTTTGAAGGAGATCATCACGAGTTTCAAATGATTTCCCAAACAATTCAGACATTTCATTTTCTTCAGATTGTCCAGCCACTTGATGGTTTGTACTTGTCTCTTGAGATTCCATATTAGATCAAAGAAACAACTAATCTGCAAAGTAAAATAACAATTTTAACAACAAAAATAAAAATTCAATCACATAAATATGCCTATGTGTGTGTGTATATATATATATTAAGAACTCATAAAAAAAAGTATGAAAATTTTAGGCCAAAGCCCCTATTTGCACCCTCCATTTATTTTTTTTCCGCAGTCAACACCTTCCAAAATTTTTCCTCCCTATTCACACCCTTCACTTTTCAAAACTCGTGAAAAACCCAATATTTTAACGGGCCGTCACGGCACCGTTAATAACCGTTAAAAATGGTAATACGTGGCATCAAACAGTAAAATAATCCAATGTGAAATTTCTTTTTTGATGATATGGCATAATTAAATCATAATTAATTTTAATTTTTTCATTTTCTTCTTTCCGGCATCATCTTTACCATCTTCCTCTTCATCTTCTTGGGTTTCTCATGGAACCAAGAACCAAGAACCCAGAACTTTATATCACATTTATTAATTTAATGTTGAACTTTTTTTTATAATATGTTATAATTAAATCGTTATTAATTTTAATTTCTTTATTTTCTTCTTTCCCAGCATCATCTTCACCATCCTTGTCCTCATCCCCGGGTTCCTCGCAAAACCCAGGTTCTGTGTTCTTCGTGGAACCTAATTTCACAATTCGCCTACCAAGCTAAGATTTTCATCCACACAATTATAAGTAAATGAATACCGCACAAAAACATGATAAGTATCCTATTCAGAAACAATATCCAAGCAATATCCACAAAAAACGAAAAAAACTCAAATTGGCAACCTATTCAGAAACAATATCCAAGCAAAAAAACTCACTTTTTCAACAAAAAAAAATTATTTCAAATTGCTTTGCATAAAATCGGAAGCTAAAATAAATACATTCAAAATAAAAAAATCAAAAAAAAAAGTT